TGACGATCACGGGCACAGGGGCTCTTCTACACTTAGCCATAACATCTGTCTCATACAAAATCCAACTCCATGCCAGGCCTGGTGGTACAGACCTCTAATCTTAGCTCCTTAGAGGTTGAGGCAGGAGGACCACAAATTCAAGCCTGCCCGTGCTACAGAGTGAGTTCAAGGTCACCCAGGGAAATTGGTGAGCCCCCTGGCCAAAAAAGAGTTGGGTTTGGTGGTCCACACCGTTAGTCCCACAACTTAAGAGGTAGATAGAGGCAGGAGGATTCAGAGTCAAGCCCCAGGTCAGGAAGATGGTTCAGCAGGTAAAAGTGCTTGCTAATATGACTGATACTTCCCTGCAGCCTACATGATAAAAGGAGAGAACCAACTTCCCAGGATCACACACACACACACACACACACACACACCAGCCTTTTTAGATTTATTTTTATGCCCATGAGTGTTTTGACTGTATGAATGTAAGTGCACCACACACATTCTTGGTGCCAAGGGAGTCACAAGTAAGCACTGGGTCCCATGGAGCTGGAGTCACGGATGATTGTTGGCCATTGTGTGGGTGCTGGGAACCAAACTGGGGTCCTCTAGGAGAACAACAAGCACTCTTAACCACTGAGAAAACTCTTCAGTCACACACCACCACCACCACCCCTGATTTTTCATAAAGATGTATTTATTTTATGTATGTGAGTGCTCTGTTTGCATGTACACCTTTATCCCAGAAGAGGGCATCAGATCCCACTACAGATGGTTGTGAGCCAACATGCAGTTGCTGGGAATTGAACTCAAGACCTCTGGAAGAGCAGACAGTGCTCTTAACCTCTGAGCCATCTCTCCAGCCCCACCCCACCCCCAATTTTTTTGTTGTTGTTGTTTTTGGTTTTTCGAGACAGGTTTCTCTGTATTGTTTTGGAGGTTGCCTTAGAACTCTGCTCTGTAGACCAGGCTGGTCTCAAACTCACAGAGATCTGCCTGCTTCTGCCTCCAGAGTGCTGGGATTAAAGGTGCACGCCACCAACGCCCGGCCCCACCCCCATTTTTAAACGACAACAACAAAAGAAGTTTGGGATATTGCTCAGAGGTATAATGTTTACCTAACTTGTTTCAGGCTCTAGAGTAAATCCAAGTACTGAAAGGAGAGAAAAGGGGTGGGTGGGTGGGGGAACAATGACTCTTAAGGTTCAGTGTCTAAAAGACTGCACTTACAGTGGACCCAGGTTCAAGTCCTAGCACCTACGTTGGGCAGTTCACAATCACCTGCAACTCCAATTCCAAGGGGATCTGATGCTTCTAGTCTCTGCAGGTGCCTGTACTCACATGCGTATGCCCATACAAGTCACTGAGATGAAATCGTTTTTAAGTCCAGTTCTTTACTACCTCTGAGGGATTTAGATGAAGGAGGCACCTGACAGGCTTTACATGTCATAGGCTGAATGGAGGGGCCATTGTCCACAGAGAGCTAGTATCAAAAGAGATCCCTGTCCAAGCATCAGGACCTCTGACCATGTGCCTGTTTATGCTGTTGGTCAGGCAGCCTCACCTACAAAGCACATTGGCATGGAGGTTACAAGGCTTCTGGCTACCTTGATAAGTTCCTAGCCTCCTGACTGTTTTGGAAAGTGGGGCTTCTGCCTCACTAGGTTGTGGGGTGAAGAGGTTAACCATTTCCCTGCTGCCTCCCCTTTGAAAACATCTCATAAAGGTGCGTCAGAGGAAACAGGCTTTTGATCCCACCTATTATTAGCTCCTGAGACAGGGAGGAAGCACACTCACCTCAGAGATGGTGAGGAGCAGGAGTCGCTGAAGCACTTAACCCCTTTTGGAGATAAGGCTGTTGGTGTTAAGTCAGGAAACACCAAGTCCAACATGGAACCATTTGTAACTGACTGGGTAACATGCCTTACTGGTTTTGGGTACCCTCCCTAGGCCAAAAGACAGAAAAATCTAGTGGGGATTGTGAGCAGACCCAGGTATGATAATGAACCTGGCTACACCCTTCTTGACGTGATCTAAAGGACTTTGTGATCACTGATTTATGTGTAGTCTCACAATCATCCAAGGAAGGGAGGGAGGGAAGTAGGGAGAAGAGAGATAAGAAGGGAGGAGAAGGAGGGAAGAAGTAAAAAGGCAAAAGTCTCTTCATTTCCCCAAGTTATAAGGGACCGAGAGTCATAGCCTGTGCCTTGTAATTCCAGCACATGGGACTGCCTAGGGTCCCAGGCCTTGGCTGACGGAGCTCAGTTGACAAAGGGCTGCCCTAGAGTGCACAAAGCCCTGGGTTTGGTCCCAGCACTTCATGAACCTGTACATAATGGTACATGCCTATAATCTCAGCACTCGAGAGGTGGCGTCAAGGAGATCAGAGGTTGAAGGTGATCCTTGCCTACATAGTGAGTTTGATGCCAGCCTGGACCATATAAGACTCTGTAGAAAGGGAGGAAGAAAAGGAGAAAGGCAGGACAATTAGGAGAGAAGAAGGAAAGGATTCAGAAGAAAGGGAGGGAAAGGAAGACTGGAAAGGAGCGGGAGAGGAGGTGGAAGGAAGGGAGGGACAGAAAGGGGAGAGGAATGCAGGAATGGTGGCACACACCTGTAACCTCAGCACTTAGGAGGCTGAGCCAGAAGGCTCGCCAAGAGTAGAAGATCAGCCTGACTACATAGTGAATTTAAGGTCAACTTGAGCTACAGAGTGAGACCCTGTTTAAATAAATAAATAATAACATAGGAATATAATATATACTAATGTTACTTTTATTAAATGATATAAATAAATGAATAAATAATTAAATAGATGCCTCAATGGTAAAGGCACTTGCTGCTAAAACTGATGATCAGAATAATCTCTGGAACCCATGTGCCCACAACTACATACATGCACATCCTCACACAAACCTAATTAGTTAAAAATCCAGAAGGAATGGGGAAGAGCATTCAGGTAAACCAGCCACCTGTTACCATAAAGTTGGGGAAGAAGTACAATTAAAGCCCTGATCCTGGCTCTACAACAAAAGACAACACAGTGTGTGAGTGTGTGTGTGTGAGTGTGTGTGAGGTGTATGCATGTGTGTGAGTGTGTTGTGTGAGTGTGTGAGGTGTATGTATGTGTGAGTGTGTGTGAGAGTGTGTATGTGTGTGAGAGTGTGTGTGAGTGTATATGTGTGTGAGTGAGTGTGTGTGTGTGTGTGTGTGTGTGTGTGTGTGTGTGTGGTGGAGAGTGAGGTTTGAACCTCAACTCTGGAAATCTCTGATGGTTCAGACTGATGTCAAGACTTAAATCACTTCCCCATCCTGTGCTGCAAAATACTCCAAACCAGAAATCACTCCGCCCTGTCTTCTGTGAACTGTAAATGACAGAGACGCTCACTAGAGTAATTAGAAGAAACTGCTGGCCAAGAGCTCTGAGAAGGGTTAGGTGTGGCTTGAAGCACTCTGTGTATTTTCTCTAAGGCAAACATGTAGACAGTCAAAAATACAAGTTGTTTAATGAGCTTATAAACTTGGAGTGACTCCTCACATCTTACAGTGAGGTCTAGAGTTCACCCATCTCAGCATCAAAGTGCCTATGCATGGTATTCAGCCCTGACCACTTCCTCCAGCCTACTCATGGCTTCTTCCTCAGTTTATTCTTCTGCCCAGATAATTGACTGGCCCAGCAGTGTTTGTGGAGGAGAAAATAACTCTTGTTACAAGGAAATGTTTGCTGATGTCTTAGCTGTTCCTTTCTTTCCTCCTTCATCTGACTGAGTCTCACACAGCACTGGTACCCTGCGAGCTCGCCATCTTCACAGAAGAGAGTGTCCAGGGCAAGCTTTGCAGCCCACAGGGCTCTCTGATGCTCACTAAGAGCACTCTCATGTCAGTCATAGAGTTTGTTCTACTTCTCTTTCCTATCTGCAGACTTCCTAAGTGATAACTGAACAGAGACGCACACTGTCAGGGCAGGAAACACCCCATAGCAACACTGTCTCACATGTCCCATCCATGTGACTTGAGTCTGCCACAGCCTCTGGGGCTCCTCCTGAGGCAGTAGTAGGTAAGGCAACTGTCTGTGGCTTCCTAGGCCACAGATGGATTTGCTGGTCTTCACTTGCATTTTCTTTCCCAGAGCTAAAATATGAGCGCCGTTCATGAGTCCCTCTTCTGATCCATGTCAGGGACCAGCAAGTCTCCTGCTGAAATAAGCCCCGGGACAGTGTTGCTACTATTCAGGGCTATGGGTTACCTTGCTGTCCAACACCATATCTACTTATTAAACAGTCAGACAACCTTATAATTAGGTCAGCTGCATGTACTCTGATTTGAGCCTTGGGTTCCATTCCTCTCTCTCCAGGATTAGAGACTGAGAGGGAATTTCTCAATGGTGTAATGTAGAAACAGACTTCCCCTACTCCAAGTAGTCTCCCACCCTGGATGGTGCAGGACTTCTGGCACCTGCCACAATAACCAAGCTTTCCCTGTGACCTTCTGTGTTTTTCAAAATCTACTGTTCACATTGGACTCCCTGTACCTTTAAGAGCAGACACTAGGGAACAGCAAGATATCTAGTGGGTAAAGGTGCCTGCTGCCAAGCCTGATACATGGTAAATTCAATCCTCAGGGCCCACACGGTGAAAGGAGAGAAGCAACTCCTGAATATCTTCCTCTGTCCAACACACACACACACACACACATGCATGCACACATACTGTTAACTGTTTTAAGAGAACAGAACCTAGATAAGGAGAACCCCTAATCTTGTATGTACTGGGTTTTGAAAAATAATCAGGCTGTGCTAAGAATTCATGACACAAAAGTCCCTGGACCCCACCCTCCTGAACCAATTGAAACACGTGTGTCCCTTCTGTAAGGTGGCATGAGATATGCATCTGGGATCTGTGTTCCTTCCTCCCAGCTGGACTAAAGCCCAACAGCCACCTTCAGGACTCCTCAAGCCATCACTAAAAACAACCTTGAGGTGACAGGTCCCTCCAGGAGAGTGCCACCCCCATGCCTACCTTTGATGCAGAGGGAAGACTCAGGAAAGGGCGTCCTGTGATGTAACAGCCCCGATGTGAGTGCAGAAGGGATGTCAGGAGAGCACCTGGGGAGCAGGTCTGATCTGGAAATCTTACGAACTAAAGGACAAAGCAGAAACACAATCAAGGTCCACTGCCTGATGCTTCCTTCTGAATCATCTTTATAGCAAGCATGTCTTTGGGTGTAAAACTTACACTTATTCTGCTTTTGTCCTTTTTTTCAGTTAGAGGAGAGAACCAGGCTCTGGTTTGTCCCAGCTTAGGTCAGATAGATCAGTGGATGGGTTGTTGTACTTGTCGACATCAAATACATCCGAACATCGCCGGGTGGTGGCGGCGCACGCCTTTAATCCCAGCACTCGGGAAACAGAAGCAAGAGGATCTGTGTGGGTTCAAGGCCAGCCTGGTCTACAAGAGTGAGTTCCAGGACAGGCTCCAAAGCCACAGAGAAACCCTGTCTCAAAACACCAAAAACCACCACCACCATCAAAAAACGCCCAAACACCACTGCAATGCTGTCTCTCAGAGACTTGGGGTGCCGACAGTGAACATTGGCTTCTTGCATCTGCCCTTATGTGGGGGAGGGACTGTTTGGTGCTCTTTTTTTTTTCAAAACAGGATCTCATGTAGCCCAGGCTGATCTCAAACTCCCTATGTAGCCAAGGATGGCTTTGAACTCCTTATCTGATTGTTTTCACCAGGAGCTGAGATTACATTACATACATTTAAGTTGCCACCAAGCAGCCCTCTTGATCCCAAAAGGCTCCAATTAGATTACCAGACCCAGGATTTTCATTCAAGATTTGCTGCTGTTAACAGCTGCTCAGACTTACTCTCTGGTCTTCTCTCTCTCTCTCTCTCTCTCTCTCTCTCTCTCTCTCTCTCTCTGTGTGTGTGTGTGTGTGTGTGTGCGCGCGCGCGCGTGCGCGCGCGCACTCTAGCAGAGCCCTGGACGCAAGCAAACCCAGCATGAGCCAACAATAACGACCATTTCTATAGCGTCATGCTCTCCTGTGCTCGTCTGCCTCAGCAGAAACCGGTGCCTTTTCTAGACTAGCCTCCATCACACACATCTCATGTTCTTCTCATTCTCATCTTTGATACTTTTTATTGCCAAATAAAACGTTTGCCACCTCAACAACAAAAAAGGAAGACTAATTTCTACCCTGAAACATCAAAAATCTTTTAAGGCTTTATAAACACAAGTAATTATTAAAAAGGACTGGGGTCACAGAGGAAGAAATGGAATCAAAAGTATCCCAGGTAGCTGTGGGACTCTGGGGACACCTCTGCCAACCTGCCCTTGCCAGGCCATTCCTAAGGAGCAAAGGACTATGGCTGCATTTTTGTTGTTTTTTTTTTTTTTTTTTTTTTTTTTTTTTGGTTTTTCGAGACAGGGTTTCTCTGTATTGTTTTGGAGGCTGTCCCGGAACTCACTCTGTAGACCAGGCTGGCCTCGAACTCACAGAGATCCGCCTGCCTCTGCCTCCCGAGTGCTGGGATTAAAGGCGTGCGCCACCACCGCCCGGTTTATGGCTGCATTTTTACATTGATAACTGAGGGGTGATCTGACGATGGCTATTGTGTCCTCTGTCTAAGAAGTCACAGAGTACCTGGTTGGGCACAGGACAGCTCTGGGAGAGGTCATTCTTGGCCACCTGCAGCTCAAAACAGCCTGTTCTCCTTAGACACCAAGTTCAGTTCAACTCAACCAATCTATCACAATTGCCATTTTCAGCCCCTGCCCCGGTCAGTTCCCTCCCTTAAGAGACTTGTTAGCAGTAAATGAACATAATTCTGCATATGCTAACTCTGAGCAGGAGGTTTTTATGGTCTTGTATCAAGCTTGTTCTTTCCAGATTAAAAAGTAATTATTCCAAAAGATGGCTTTATGGTTAAAATTAAACTAGCTGAAAGCTATTAGAACCTGAACTTTGGACAAATGCCAAAGAGGGCAGCTCTGGGCATCTTTTGAGAGAAAAGGGAGGGACTCACCCGAAAGAAGAAATCTTTTTTTTTTTGAAAGAAGAAATCTTAAACAAATGAGCATATATATAAAAAATAATAGGGAAAATGCTCAAACCTGTTCCACCACCCTCCTTCAGTTAGAGGCACTTTTAACATTAGGAAAGCGAAACTTGCTGTGGGTGGGGTGCAACCGCTGCCAGGTCATCCTGCCTGAAGAAACCCAAGATTATGCCTACATGAGGGACGTGCAGCCATGGCATAGCAGCAACAACCCGCTGGCAGTTTGTGTGGCTCCTTGCTAGGGACTGAGCATGGGGACTGGACGAGGCAGGTTCGTGTGTCTGTGGTCACTGGCTCACTGTTCGAGGTGACTTGCTGTGGTTTGTTATTCCACAGTTTGATTAAGGAACAAGCAGCTAGGAAAACATAAGAGGGCACTAGTGTGCAAGAAAAAGTCCCAGGGCGCCGAGAGTTTGCTGGGTCAGGAGTACTGGAGTCCCAGTAGGTGTGGACCAGAGCGCCTGTAATCGTCGAAGTAAAGATGGCTCCGCAGCGCTCTCTGCTGGACGACTGCAACCTCACCCGCGGCTGGCGTGATGCTGGGTCCACCCTGCTCGCCTTCAGCCTGCCCTCTGTTGGACAAACGCTTTCCACTTTCATCAAGTCTTAGACCATAAGCACTGCTAGGCGGTGTTAGGCAAAATCTGGGGGTGGGGACGGGGAGGAGGGAATCGCTTGCATATCTATAAAATGGTAATAGTGGTCACACCACGGCCCCGTTTATGTCAGGGGCTGTTCTCTGTAGCAAATGAAATCGCTGTTTTACCAGCCCCTTCCTACTTCCACTCTTTTTCTTTTGCAGTTTTATTTTTTTATTTTAATTTTAAATAGCTTACTTCACATGTCAATCCCAGTTCCCTCTCCCTCCCCTCCTCCCGCACCCCCCCAACCATCCCCCCCAGCCTCCCACCCTATCGCCACTTCCTTCCACATAGGGGATATCTAGAGTCATCTCACTCAGGGGAGGGTCCAGGCACTCCCCTAAGAGTCCAGGCTGAGAGAGCATCCCTCTTTGTATTATGGACACACGAAGTCTGTTTGTATGCCAGGGATAAACACTGATCCACTGCCCCTATTTCCACTCTTACATGACCCCGATCATTTCATTGGAAGATTTTTCCCCAGTGTCCTTTAAAAAAAGTTAAAAAAAAAAAAAGTCACACTCTGTAAGAATTACAGCTCCCTTGTTCACAATAGGACCCGCTTTCTTTCAGGACTGGACATTGAGCCCAGGGTCTAGCAAACACTAGGTGAGCCCTCTGTGGCTGAGCCAGATCCCCAACTTTCTTTTTCTCTTCCAGACCAAACAGATCTGGAACTCACCCTGCATCAGTCTCTTTAATAGCTGGGATTACACCTGCACCACCATACTCAGTTCACAAGTATTTCTTCTCTTAGAAAGTTTGTTTGTTTGTTTGTTTGTTTTTGACAGGGGCTGGACAGATGGACCATCAGGTAAGCACAGATGTTGCTCTTGTAGCAAAGCCAGGTTTGGTTCCCAGAACCCACAAGATGGCTCACAACCATCTGTAAATTCAGTGCCAAGACATCAGAAGCCCTTTTTCTGGCCTCCAGAGGCACCAGGCACACACGCAGTGCACAGACACACATGCAGGCAAAACACTCAAACCCAAAAAATAAAATAAGTCTAAAGAATAAAACGGATTCCATCACATCATTTATCTATTTGTGTTTGGAGGAAAGGTACGTGGTGAGGCTCATTGCTATCTGGAGCTGGGGTTTATAGCAATCAGTTCTCTCCTTCCACCATGTGGGTCTCAGGAATAAAACTGTGACAGGGCTCCAGACCTTAGTAGGCCTGAGACCTTAGCACAACTGACTCCATGCTGGAAGTGCCATTCAAACTGTAAAACTCAGCACACAGACCTGGCAAAACTAAAACAAAGGCCTAATCCATCAAAGTCCATTGTTCTGGGGAAATCTCTAAGTGAGATTTTTAGCTTCTGTAGTTCTGTTTCTGGCTGTTCCTGTTAACTGAAGTATGTCAACCCAGAACATGGTTTTTGTGCTTAAAAACTCACCCTAAGAAAGGCCTGGGGGCTGCACTGGGATCTAAGGACCTTAACACTTAGTGTGGTCTCTGGCTGGCTAATAAAGACTTTCTATTGGTTAAACCCATGTAGGAGCAGTCTTCTCTGGTGCATACCCCACAACAAAACCTTTTATCTGCTGAGCCAACTCACTGGCTTTCACAAGTACTTGATACAGTTTCTTTCTCTCTCCTTCCTTCCCCGTTCCTTTCCTTCCTCCTTTCCCAGGGTTTCATGTATCCCAAGCTGACCTTGAACTTGCTAGGTGACTAAATATGACCTTAAGCCTCTCATCCTCCTGCCCCCACCTCCTAAATGCTGGTATTATAGGCACACCTACCTACCACAGCTAGTTCATAAGTGCTGCTGATCAAACCCAGGGCTTCATGTATGCTAGGCAAGTACTCTATCAACCGAGCTACATTCCTAGACCCCAAAGCATCTTTTTCCTACAATCATATGCCATAATTAACTTGCTGTCAATTCCACACTCAGTGTCTAAAACCCCTGCTAGCTTCTGTGTTCCCTGGAGGTGCAGTCCTAGTGCTATTTGACATTGTTGTTCTTGCGTTCTTAGGACCTTCCTACCATAGTACTCAGGTGTAGTATGTAGGTGCTTAATAAATATCTGTTAAATCAACACATAGATGAATCATCAGGAACTGGTACACAACAGATAGAAACGGAAAGAACAAAGTAAGATAGATTGGGAGGTAGGATACTATTTCAAGAGTGACAGCATGCAACGCACGATTTTCACCTCTGTACTTGGGAGGCTGAAGCAGATAGATGTCTGTTAGCTTCAGGCAAGCCTGGTCTACATAGTGAGTTCTAGGCCAGCCAGAGTTACATGATGAGACCTTGTCTCAAAAAAAGTGTAAGCATACATTTCTGTCTAACACTGTTATGAGTAAGACATGAGGAACCTTGCGTGGGGGACCCTGGCAGATTCCACGGCAGGCAAGGGTAACCAAGGTGGAGGGACAAACACGCCAGGCAGACAGAGCTAAGTAAGAAGCTTTATTAGAAAGAGGATGGAGGGGAAAGGAAAGAGAAAATAGGTAAAGAGACACAGAGAGAGGACAGAAGAGGAGAGGGAGAGAGGAAAAGTCTGTCTGCCCCAGCGGAATTGCCAGGAAAGAGAGGACAGAAAGAGAGGAGCAGGAAAGAGAGGGAAAGAGAGTGTAAGGGGGCAAAGGTCTTTCTTTTTTTCTTTTTTTCTTTTCTTTTTTTTTTTTTTTGGTTTTTCGAGACAGGGTTTCTCTGTGGCTTTGGAGGC